CTATGGTCGTGCCCTGATGCTCTTCTGTACGCAAGTTTTTACTTTGATATTTGAGTATAAATCTTAAAGAACGTTAGACTTTGTGTATGTCCAGCTTGAAGCAGTTATTAGAAAGCACAAAGATCATGAGGCATTTTGTGGACTCAACGATATCCTCAGCAAGATTGCCAGGGTTTTCCTCAAATTTAACTCGCTGCTGTTCAAACATGATTTTAACGTTTGAGATCTCGTGCTCAGGCTGATGGTATTGCTAAAGATTTGCGTTTCTACCTTGGGGAGGACTGGAATTTCACGTACCAACCAACTCAAGCTGTGCACGACTATATCAAGTAAGTCAAATGAAAGGATTTTTGTCATATTTTGGTATTGTATCGAGCTTTATTTGCTGCTTGTCAGACACTTGAAAGAGCTCGAAGAAAAGGTATTGTATGAAAAATTGTTTTCAAGTTACTTTCTTGAAACTTTATGCTTTTGCGCTACAGAACCCAGTCCTGGTGCTACCATATTGCTACCACATGTACATGGCTATGCTTGCAGGTGGCATGATGATCAAGAAATTAGTAAAAAGAAGCTTTGCACTACCTGAGGGAGAAGGACTTGACTGTTTTGCCTTTGACGTCAAGAGTAACAAGGTAAGAAAATGCGTTCAATTTTCGTGATTTTCGACTTGAGGATTAATTTTTTTATTTGAATGCGTGAACAAGGCACTTCGCGATACGGTAAAGGAGGAAATCAACAAATGGCAGCCCGATGAAGAGACAAGGAAGGCCATTCTTGCCGAGTCCGTGAATTGTTTCAGATTGAACAATCAGGTACAGCAATCAATATAACATAATAATTCAGTAACCATATCAACAACTCGGATGATCCAGATTGTTCGAAGCCTTGACGGTGCAGGTGTTCGTGCAGTAGAATTCATTCTTAAGTGGTCGATAACTATTGGCTGTATCCTGTTGGTGTGTACATGTGATGTTGTCAATTGTTCGCACTATACAAAGATCAGTAATTGCGTTTATCTCATGCTGGCTGTAGATGGTCCTCGCTTTGCTGTCTACTTTCAACAGTCTGTAACACGTGTAAAGCTCGATCGTCGATGTCTTCAAATGGACAATGCTTGTCAGTAAGAGTATAATCTTGACTGTTGAAAGCAGCTGGATCGGCCGATTGGCGCCATATTGAAGACAACATTATCGCTTGTAAAACTCAACATTACGCCCAAGTAACGTGTACATTTAAAGCTGAGTGATTCTCTAAACAATATACGCTCCGAATGGTCGTCGCATCGTCATACCGTCTCCCTCGCTTTCTTGTCATGATATTAATCTGTTTCAAAGTGAAGTTGACATGCTGGATGCGAAGCCGTAATCTCATCACTATTCTTTTGCCAGAAAAGAAGTAGTCACAAGTCACCTTGCAGAACATAAAATTTGTTCATCCTTAGCACAATTTACCTGACGCAATCGACCAGGCATTTGAGATACACAGGTGATCAAAGACCGGCGAAGATGTCAATCATGACGCGCGACTAGAGCTCCATATTGTTGTCATCGATTCATAGACATGTGTCGCACATAAAATCATTTAGAGGATGTCTCGTCTCGTTTAGCGCTCTGATTGCTCCAAAAAATAACATTATTGCTCGCAGCTGTGGCTCCTGTTTTTGAAAGATTTGGTATTCTATGCTTTCAAATTTTATATTAAGCTTTACTAATTCCAAAGATATTGTTGTATGTGAAAGGTGTACTAGTTTCAGATTGTGTCTTTTCCAAATAGAGAAAACAATTTTGTTAGGTATATGCACGGGTCTATACGGATCTGGATCTCTTGAGACTGCTTCAAACTTCAATTAATGTCTTCATTATTTTTTCTAGTGGGTTGCAGTCCTAAACACAATCACTGACTGTTCAGACGAATATAAATAACAATAAAATTTAAAATGCTGAAAAAATTAAAAACACATGACTCATTCCATGTTTCATCGAAATAACAGTTAAACAACAAAACGAACCAAGTTTGTTAAAAGGCTAGACTCGATTCAAGAGTCTTACGCTCTCTACCAGTCTGATGATCGTACACGAATATATTTGCGGGTGAAGATATTTAATCCTGGCTGTGAATTATTTTCTAACTCTTTTTCTTAATGTCTTGAAGTAACCAATAACATTGACATCCATCACATCTTAGCTTCATAGATATGGCGGTATTAAGCTACTCATTGATGCTACATATTTCTGAAAACCATAGACTGTTAAACATCACTTCTGCGTTATAGACAATCCCTAGCGCATAGTCAGTCGTGCCCTCATTGAAGACAAAACCCTCGTTAGTCTGTTCCAAGCCAGCTCCGGTAGAGCTTGCAAAGCAGGAAATTTACGCAGGCAGACCGAGCGCTATGCTCTCAATGGGCTGCTTAATCCACATGACATAAATTTTTCTGTGCGACCAGATTCTTTATTTGTACTAGAAAGTGATTTACTTCTGCAGAAACATAGACAGAAAAGAGTTGTTTGAATCATATGTTGTTGAGTCTAATCTGGAACTTTTATGTCTGTAACCAAATCAGTATATTCTGAGCCAGGTTTTCGTGATGCTCTCACATCTTCTTCAAATCACAAAACAGTCGAATTCTCCGTACCTTATCTGTTTTGACTCCCAGTAATACGCCCTCGAGTATATTCATCAATCTCCCGCTCTCACCACAGGACATTTTCGCCAACTATCGAATCCTTCTTTTGCCATGCATTTGCGCTACCTGACACTACTCGTGGCTAGTTCCGTGGCTGTTACTACCTTAGCTCAGACCGCGAAGAATGATTTGAATTCTTCTTCGTTGCGACAACTGCCTTCGACCACGGTTCATCCGATGACAAGCGGCCTGGACACTCATTTGTCACCTAGTGCCACCAATGAAGAGGAGTCTCGTATATCCCTTACGAGTTTATTTCTCTCCAGGCAAAAAAGTCCCTTTGAAAACCACTTGCATGTTGCTGAGACGAAAAATATAAAGAAACTTTCGAAAGAGTTGAAATACCAAAAATCCGCGCGGGATGCCTATCTTGTGGCTGGACTCGATCAAGTGGCGGACAGTGAGCTCCTTACCAAGGAAGCCTGGAAAAAGTGGGCTTTATTTGTCATCAAGATGAACAAGAAGCAAGATCCGGTAGCCGTTGTCCTAGATGCTATGGAACAGCAGTTGACCGTACCGCGCTTTCTCAAGATACTGATCAAAGGATCAGACGATCAGAATTCGGAGAAAATAGCCAAGCCTTTGTTGTTCGCAAAAGAGCAAAAGTGGCTCTGGCAAAATTACACACCACTTAACGCCTTGAAGGATCTCGAGATCGATAAGCACATTTTAAGCTTGTTCAGCAACGATCTGTATAATTTCTGGTCTACGTTCGTACAAACTCACCATTTATCCGAACCGAATGGAAAAACAGAGTATGAATGGTTGCAAGAAGCTTTTCCTATGGATAACGAATTTCTCGAGGTTCTCACTTCAGATAAGAATGCTCGATCTTCGAACGGCTGGGAGATGCTGGTCAAATATGTAAACGAACAATCGGACCCGACGACGTTCTACAAACAATTTATGCACTCCCGAAGTGTACTAAGAATATACTTCACTAAAAATCCCCTTCCTGCGCCGCAGCAAACAAAATTGATGGAATTGACCGACCCAGATGGTGATTTTGGTATAGAGCACCTTAAATCGTGGCGCAATTTCAAAAAGACTATCACCCTCCCAAAACCGGACAAAATTTTGCCAGCACTTGAGACCAGTGATTTGGTCTGGCGTATCTGGTTCCATTACGTAACGTCAATCATGATAAAGTACCCAACCATTGCCCCCGTGACTAATACAGTTGCTGCTTTGATCTCGAATGATATCACACTTATTAGAACATTTGTGGATGCTTTGATTGAAAGATCATTTGGACCGAGCAAGGTCTTTATGATGGTGCAGCACAGTAAAGCTAATGATGCTGAGCGTGTGGAAAATGTCTGGAAGGAGTTCCTCAACAAATATCAGGAGAAGAAGCCTACGATTATTAAAAAGTTGCAGGATTTTATCAAACTGAGCAGTAAGCACAGCATTACGGAGAAGGACATTGAAGACATGCGTGCAATTGTAGATTTCTGGGCAAAGAGTCAAGCAAATCCGGAAGTTGAGCTCGAGTCGTTGATCTTTACTGCTGACGCCACTAGGGTGTTGGATCACTGGGTCGATTGCATTGATTACTTCCTCAACATGATGCCGGTGGAAAAGATGGTCAGTCAGTCCAAGCCAACAGATGTGTACCTCAATATGCTGAGAATGCTGATTGTGATACGTGATCTAGGCCATTTCTCGAGCCGCAACACTTTGAAGAAGCACGAGTTAATATGGACGAAGCATTTTAAGTCTGCGGAAAGTATATTCACGGTATTAAAGCTCGACGACGCTTGCAAAAAAAAATTAATGCTGGCAAAGGAAGAAATGTCTAAAGCTCAAAGCAATCACCAGATGAAATTGGTAAAGCAGTTACAAAAACCTCCAATGGTGAGAGCTGGCCCACACGTTTCTTCTCCTCGTTTATCGCAGCATGGAAATCCTGGTCCGAGATCATCATCGAAGTCTCCATCTGTGCTTGACAGTAACATTGGTATATATTATTATCAAGCTATGTCACAGCTGCTGGAGAATCCATTGCTTCACTTCTATCGTGAATGCGAATTAGAACTAAATAATGTGCATCATACCCACACAACGTTGTTTGATACGCTTCTTGACGTTTTTGAAGGAAAAGATTTGGTGGAAATGATCATCGCGATGGACCAGTACTCCAAAACTGTTGAAGTTGAAAACCTAAAGAATCAGATGTTCAATTATTTCATGACACAAAGAATAACCTCAGCTCAAATTGCGTTTGAGCAAGAAGCAGACTTAACGCTCCTAGTCGCGTACCGTGACTATTGTTCGAAAAAGACCACAAAGCCCCCCCCTAGAAGTATATAAACATCTCGACAGGGTGCAATCGATGCTACGTTTACTTTAGCTGCGTGCATTAACTCGAATACATCTGTACGTTGATCTTAGATTTATTTCTTTTATCTGTTGTTTACCGAGGTAGCGTCCATTATATATTTGTTGCAATCATGTGTATAAATTAACTTGGCGATGCTACATAGCCAAGAGAGACAGAACGTCAGTCAAAAGGGAGAGAAAAAGCAGAAAGCCAAAGCTGCTAATAGTAAAAAGAGACCAGTTTTGCAGCTTGGATGTTGTTTTTGTGTAAAGCTATTGGAGTCTTGGCTGATCAAACGTTTGCGGTAAGTGCGCGCAGAACAGAAGAATACTGCGTGACGACTATTTGAACAGATTATTAAGCTTCGTCTCAGGATGTGTTGTATCAGATATTAAAAACAAAGAGCCTACATTATCAACCATGTCGAGCGAGATGAATGACGAGAGCTTTGCTCAACGTAGACAAGTAGTTGGGGTAAACAATCCATAGCAGGAATATCGGCTGGCCAAGATACAAGATGATGTAATTCACTGACTACGCCATGACTAGGTTGCTCAGACCCAAAGAGAAGTATTATCTGAGTACGATGATCGAATTCGAAAGCACTCCATGGATATAATCTGCTAAGTCAAGAAGTGGTTTGAACACCGAAGTGAGGGATCGACGTTTCGCCAGATCGCATAGTGGCTTGACTTTGAGATCTACCAGTTGATGCTCAAGTCGACCAGTGTCGGCTGTGTCAAACAGCTCTAGTGCATAACTACGAACTAGTTCTGGTGAGCGAGAAAAAAGAAGTTTAACAGACTTCGCACGAAATGATTCAAGCAAAAGCACTACAAAAATCTCCAAGGTCGAAGAAGACAGGCAAAAATACCACGAACGATTTGGGAACAAGTGCAGAAGCGCAAGAATATTTTTGCAGTGAGGATCAAACAAACTTGGAAATGGCAATAATGACGCACCAAGAGATGAAGCGCAAATGTTGTTTCAAAGCGAAGGAAGACGAAATGGATTGCCATCCTTCCACTCGGTTGTTTCTGTTTGTGCAGAGCTTAAAGTACCCAAAGTTTTGGTTTTGTTTACTTTAGCACTTCCAGCTCCAAATCGACTTGGTTTCACAACAGACGCGTCAATGAATCAAGTGCTATCTCATCAAACAACATTTTTTGCCGCATCCAATCTGCATCTATTCTAGCTGCCACTATAGACCTTGACGAATCGGTTGATCAGGAGGTAGTCAACATCTTTTAAGATGTTCTTCTATCTCCTCAAGCTCAACGACTTCAACAACTAAGCTCCACTTTTACTCACTTGCCCCGTGACTCTGGCTGCACAACTAGAGGCTTAGTACTCCCCGACGCATCACAGTAGACCTTTGACAATATGCATTTGAAGACTTAATACCTAGTTAAGAAGATAAACCTTTCGATTACTTTTAAATTAATTACCTCTTCACACAGAAACTTCCTTCTTCTCTATCTATTACTAAAGGGCAAGAAGTCGTCGACGTGGCTTAATAAAGCAGAACTTTCGGTCTCGTGGATCGACAGACGTCGCCACATCGAATCAACGACACGTCTGCATGAGGAACACCAACATTGTTATCATTTACATCGTCTAGACGCGAAAAAGCGCGTGACTCCAACGTTGCCCGTACGTCATGACATATCAGCCCAATGTCTTCCACAGTTAATGTGCGCTGCTCCGCAAGAATACGAACACGCTCTAATGGATCCAGCCAAAATTCGTTACGGTGACGACAACTACAGCCCGTAGACAGCGACATGGTCTCGATTTGATGCTTTTTAATCAAAAAGTCTTTGCTTTTGTAGATCGAAACGCTGTCTTCAATTGGAATCATTGAGTACGAATGTCGAATTGGTCGACCGATAAGTCCCACGGGCGGACCCCCACTTTCAGGGACTGTGCTTGCATTGTATCCCATCCTGAACTCCAGTACACTCAGTGTTCCCCACCGTACATGTTTCTTAAGCTCGTTTGGATTCACACATTGACTTATACTCTTCATCAGTAATAATGACGAGGAACGAAGGTGACAGCACTTGTCCTATAGATTGGAAAATCGAGTGTGAGGACTTAAGTATAACGCTTGACGAGAGAGCAGTGTAGAGAAGGTTCCAACTGATACAGCTGGACAACAGAACGGTGGTACTAGCATTTTAAATGCCTCTGTCGGTGGCACAAGATTTTCAAGTTATAAAACTGCTGGTGTTAATATCGTAAAGTTATAAGCTGACAACAGCAGGAGTTTCAAACTTCTATCACGACTTTCGCCATTAATAACGATCGATAGTTCAAATTTACGATCGTAGCTATACGTTTCGGTTGCCTCGACTTTCAAAGCTGATTTATCTCGCATTTAAGCTCTGCGACTGTCAATGGAATGAAAATCATACCGAATTACTTTGCAGACAAGTCATATACTATCCAACAGATTTAGTATGACGTCTATGATGTTTCATCTGCATACTCAAAGTACTTAAAAGAATGGAACAGAAAAGAATCTTGTCAATAAATTACTTAGTCAACAAACGTTTTCTTGAGGTCTGAGATTGTAAAATCGCTGTTATACTCTATGTCGAATAGTCACACATCTACATATGACATTTCCATACTTTATGTAAATTTCTAACATGGTCAACAAGTCTGTCGAGTCATCCAGTCTTCAACGAAGAAGCGATCGGCCGCAACTCATGTGTTGTGTCTTTTCTTGTCACTTTTGTATCAAGAATGTATAGAATCTATTCTGATTCTGGCCAACCTCCGCATATTGCACATAATACAGCCATGTAGCTGTAATCATAGATGACGGTAGTAATCATGTTGAGGATTGACGCTTGTTTATCACAGTTGAGGAAAGTCCAGTCAAGCACGTATTTAAGCGTATATATAGAAAATCTAAGCTTAGTTAGCGACTAGATTTGTACGAGGCAGACAGCCTGCTTACGTCAAATCTGTATCTGTTTTGGTCACTTCTGGATTACGCATAGTATGAATATGAAACTGAAAAAGATTCAAATTTTAGACGCATTTAAGATTTAAATAATTTGTGAATCTTCTAACTTTAGTATAGAGTTGCCCAATTAGAAGATAGACGAGTCTTAAAGTTGCCATATTATGCGCTAGGGATGCTTTCATACTGGTGTAAGAGAATTGCCAGGTTACTAAGATCGATGCTACATTTGAACAGACTTGTTCAAATTGAGACTTTTTCTTACTAAAGACACAATAGAGTAGGGCTAAAGCTTTTTCAATTACAATCTCGTTATCTAACCAGGTATGAAAGAAGTCTACTTTACACCATCAAGCACGGCACATCACAATTTTGATCTTACATACGAAGATGAATGTAAGATCATGTTCACGTCGATGAACAGTACGATGGCAATTCTTTCTCGACACGCAGAGTACTATTGCCTAGAATTTTTAAATTTATTTCACATACATTATAGCAGAAAGATTACTCCCTTCCAGGATGGGGTGATTCCATAGTAATGGACAGCGACGCTAATTGTTCTGAGACGGTGATTTTGTCCAAAGTAGCTATCCATTCTGTTCGCAACGCTACGCTTGTACCTAAGTGTTGATTGGCTCGAAATTTCGTCGTTGCTGTCGTTGCTGTCGTTGCTGTCGTCAAGAGACGTTAGAAGATGAAGATTCTTCGAATAGTGGGATGCTCTCGCTTAGTTAGTGTCCAATCAACATAGTTTTCGTATCTCGAGCGATCGATATTGAATATTAATGATTTGTTGTAGGAAGTCGATGCAGTAGAGTCTACTAGGGTAAAATCAGTCAAAAGCTCTTTGAGATGAATAAAAAATCAGTCTATCGAATAAGGTATATCGTCGTATATTGGCAACAATGTTAGTCTCGATGGACTTAAGAAACAGTTCTACGAAGGGTATCAGCCTGCTAAAGCTAACGACAAACTCAAGAGCGTATATCTTCCTCTGTGCAAAGTACGCGGCAACTCCATTGTACCTTCGGACTTCAAGCGAAGCTTAGAATATGTACGATGAAGTAGTACTATGGTGGACGTAAACATCACACTATCAAGTATCTTGCGTACTAAACACATAAACAAAAAGTTCACAATGACATCAAGCGTTATTAGGGCCAACATATTAATATTTATAAGCACAGAAAAAAGCTATTGTAAGAAAAGTCTACATAAAACTAATACTAAACATAGGCATTGTTATAATCGCAGAGAATATAAGCACTCCAAAGGCCCTTGGTCTCCATTTTCGTTCGTACCAGGAGCGCACGGACCCGACCTGTAACGGGGTTACACATACCCTGGTAACAGGGGTTGGTGTCACATCAGATGGGCATGGTGTGACCACCATACAGTTATACATGTATTTAGATTTTACTATACATATTTAGGCATTTAAATTAGGCAGCTTTGCCGCAGATAAAAATAAATAAAGTCAGTTTTTGAATTTGAACGGACGATTTAATTAGCCATGGGTTAAGGTTGTAGCTACTCATGGAGTAAGCGGATTGCGGTCCGCTTTGTTCTAAGTATAGAACAAAAGGCCAGTGACCTAACTTACGATTCCTCTACGCGCAAAGCTACGGCAGCCGCGCTGCACGACCTCTATACCTAATAAACGCGGATTCGAAAAGCCATTCTTCCTCTGTGCAAAGTGCACGGCAACCCTGCACTTGAGGGAGCTCGGAAAATCATGATAAGTGATGTCCGTGGAACATGTGGGCCGATATCCTCAAAGCATGCGTGTTATAGATTTTGTTATAATAGATAGTAACATATATATGTGATACATTTTAAGGTAGCTTTAAACCGAAATAACACTGATGGGGTTATTGCTTACTAGGAAGAATCTTGTTTCGGTACCTTACAAGCGGCTAGGGATTCCATCTTCTTTGCGTTAGCTAACGCAGTCTCCGAAAGCCAAGGTTTTCAGTGCAAGGCAATCCAGTGCACTTTGTAACACTTGTAGTCTATCCGACAATCAACTCATAATAAATCAGATCCCATATGAGAGTCTAGCGCTAAATTCTCGCTTAATCTACCCCAAACAAGCATAAAATGCTTGAAACGCTTCTTTTCTCGCTAACAAGTAGCACGATCGTCAGAGACCTGGAATAGAATGCGCTGATGAATACCACAATAATAATCTGTAGGCGATAGTGAAAGCTCCACCGACTTTACAGAGCTCTAGGAGCAACACCATTTTTGTCAAGCGTCAACGCCTTTGAGGGAAAAGATGACAAAAATCCCGACCTCTGAACACGACAGATTCAGATGATAATGGACTCGACCCTGCTCCAATTAGAGCAACAGTGATCCGCGTTGACCGCCTACTAGTCAGAAGCTGTTGTATGAAGATGGGTACTAACATACCGATATTTCGAAAAACGACGCAAATTTACTTGTAAAGTATATGTCGTGAGTTTTTGAGCCGCCTAACTCGCTTCACTGGGTGCGTTCAGACTTTCAACTACTCGTCAATGAAGAAAGAATGCTGGGTTTTTACTAAGAGTTCCAATGTGGTGGCTGCTGGTCCTTTGATGAACGCATTTTTGAGGTACTTCAAACAGATGCGTATTCGAACACTATTTTAATCATTAGTCCCCTTACGAGGAAGCGGTGAGAACTTGTATAAGTACGGAAGACAACCGTTTGGTCTGTTATGAACGATTAGGGTGCGGGCGGAGAAGGCTCTATGAGCGTGCCAAAGGTGCTTGTTAGCAGCCATTCTACAGTATGATCTGGTAGCTGTGGAATCTGCAGGTGCTACACCTGCAAATTAGCAAATATTACGCATTGCGGAGCGATACGGGATGTCGCAATTCAAAGCGGACGTGGTGACGAAGCCCTGTTAGGCTCGAGGCGTCCTACTCAAACACAAACAAGTTTTCTGATACCTAGAGGAGGGTGCGGCCAGCAGGACCCAGCGCTAATGAAAGCATTTAATCAAAGAGAGGCGGGGCATATTGCCCTGTCTTGTCGGTCGTTGACAACAATGTACCGGTCTTTGCGAAACCACGGAAAATAGATTACGATACATTTTTTATCATGTGCGACCTGATTCTGTTGAATACAATTATCAAAATGCGAAATACTGAAGCGAATGGAATATTTGTGCATTTTTCGAAGAGGTTTAAACCTTTATGAAGTTTGAGAAGTTTGACAGCGTGGAACGTGGTTTGATCTTAAATCTAAAAATAGCGATCTCATCCCAGGTACGAAACATCACCAATACGATCAACTGATAGCCCAGGACACTAAAAGCCACACATTTTTTGCTAAGGGGGTTTGAGGAGCTTTGAACCCGCATTGACAAGAAGCTAACAAAACGGATGTACAACGTTCTGTTGCAAAAGCGATCGTAGATTCATTGCTGTTCTATAATCGCTTATATTAGTGATATTGCGAGTCACCTAGAGCAAAGCTTGAAAATCAAGGGCGGCTGTAAGCCGCAGCCTTCAGGGATATACTCTGTCAAGACGTAAGGGAGCGACCGTATGTCGCGGCACCGTAATTTTATTCCGTCCAGGTTAAGCAAAGCGGCTGTATGCAGATTCCTGCTAAGACATATTGAAACAGCTTCGTGCAACGGTTGACATTTTAATGCTAATTTGAGATCGGATATCGATCGGTGGATACAAAAACAAAGTGAATATATTCGAGGTCGTGAGCTTATTTGTCTTTGCTATCTCTAAGCCAGTCGTCTGTTGTAAAGCACTCAGTAAAATATTCAAACTGGATTTTAAATGGATAACAAGTGAAATTGTTATTTGGCGACTGGTTACATTCCTTGAAGCTCAACGTGCAGCTGCTGTCGAGCCGTTTGTTTCCAGCTTTCTTACTCGATTCGACCGCCCTTTGTGCTTCAAATTCCAAAATACCACGAAATCATACAGCAGATATTGGCTTTGTCATCACGTCCACCTTCATGTCTCTGGTTGAGCAGTGGCGCAGCACTACATGACTGTCTGTAACCTTCTCATGCACGAAATGATAGCATATTGTGAAGTTCAAGATTCTTGGCCAATGCAATTGTCCTCGTAGATCTTGACCGCTTCATCAAGCTTAGCTACCACTAAACTGTTTCGAGCCAAACTGCTATCTGGGTAGCTTATGTCGATGCCATGTACTCTGCCCCGTTGACAAAAGCGCCGCTGCTTGCTGCTTCTTGCTTTTCCAGCTCATGCAGCCGGAGCTCATCATGAAAGATTGTTTGCTGTAGCCTTACCTGATCTGAGCGTCACTAACCCAATCTGCGTCCGAAAAGCCCTAAGGCTTGCCTACAGCTAGCTTGCAAAAATTGATGTCATGTTTAGTCATTCCTTTAATGTAGCCAACGCTCAAGTGCATGCCAGTGTGTTGAACATGGATCGAAAGCAAATTAGCTAAGCACTCCCACTGCAGCCAAGAGGCCCGGCCGAGTCTTAATCACAAGATACATCAAACAGCCAACTGTAATACGGCAAGGCATATTTGCCACTGACTCGCTGTGTCGGCAGCCGTTTTCACACTGTATCTTTGCCAACATGCGATCAAAATCTTGTAAAGTTCTCACTGGACGGCTATTTTCCATGACAAATTTATAATTATGATCAGTCATGTTGACACGCCTGCTACGTGGGCATCATCATTAACGTGAAGTGCCACATAGAAAATCGCTTATACCGCTTAACGTCAACACAGTGATCCGTTTTGCACTTCTCGAATCCAAATTCCAGCATAAATTTTTCGATAGTCTGGTTACACATTCGCGAAGATTGCTTCTGACAAAAAAAAGAGCACTTATAACGTCTGGATGATCTTAATCCTTGAAACCATCGGGTTGTACCGTGTATATGTCTTCACCAAGGGACTCACTTAGAAAAGCAATTTTGACATCTATTTGGTGAGCTGTTGGACTGAACTTTGCTGCCAGACTGAGTAGAACTCATATTGAAATAAACTTGACCACCGTTGCAAACGCTTCTTATAATCATTTTCGTTGTTGCAAGAATTCCTTTGCGACTTGTTGTGCTTTGAAACGCTCGCCCTCCCAAGCTTTAATTTCTTTGATATAAAACACCGACAAACGACAAATCGCTTGACGCCCATAGACAATGGAACCAGCAAACATGTATTGTTGTAGTGTAGAGAGTTGATTTTGAGACGCATGCTTCTTTCCACTAGGCCGCATTGCTGAATTCCATTCCCGATTTGTACGACGTTTTACGACTGATTCTACAGCAAGGACCGCTCTATAACCCTGATTTATATGAGCGACAGCAAACTTTTCATTCAGCAACAGTGGTCGACTCTGTCGTTTTGCTCGAGGAGGATCAGCCGCCTTTTCAAGTGACTGTGTTTACTTATGGAAACTGCTTTTAGGCTCAAAATCTGACAGATACACAGCTTCTTGCTTAACTTCACAATTCTCATTGTCACTTGCGTCCTTTTCATTAAGTTCCTTAACTGCTTCATTTTAATTTTTAAATGAAGCGAGGCTCGGTTTTGAAGATGTTTTTTATGAATTTGCGTCTCCGCTAACGCTTAGCTGTCACAACTGTATCATCCAAATAATGCTTTGGCAAATTTGATTGCTTTAAAATGTATCTTGCATATTCTCGACTATAACATTAAGCTACATTGTGTTTGAGGGCGTAAGCTTTTGCTCAGTGCCGCAGCGCTTACAAACTTCCGCAATTCGCTGAACGTGTACTCACCACTGTTGTCAAAGCAAAAACCCTTTAATACTCTCCTAATTAAACTCTCGGCGAGTGCTACAGACTCAGCAAACTTGTCTACAACTTTTGACTTATTTTGTAACAGATAGCATGTGGTGAAGTGCGAGTACTCATACGAGGCCAAGCTTAATAAATTTTTCTGACATTTTATCGCATGGACTCGTGCACGCCATTACGGACGGTACAGAAGATAGCATCGTAGATGACACCGACAGCGTGGAGTCCACCATAGCCAATTTGTCCACGTCAAAGGTACCAGAGATACGATAGGGTGTCCCCATAATATTTTAACGAGCTTTTTAAATTGTTCTCGTCCTCGTCAACGCTGACTAGCGTCATGCAAAGCTAAAATGACCCCTTATCGTCACGAACTACAATTTCCATTGTTACCAATAATCTAAAAAAACAATCTTTGCTCTCAAACGTTACGGGCCCGACGTCTTTTGTAAGCGTCCAACGGAAAACAGATTGCGCAACAGCCTAGGACATGCCATAGGTGCTCGGAATACTCTCTTTTTGGTTCCATGTGAAGTTATCGTCATCATCATAATGCTCCCAGCTCCAACAGCACCGTCGTCTGTAAGATGTACGTCGACTAGCGCAATTCCTTGATAACCTCGACTGTACGTCTTAGATTGTGCCGCGCCAAAGTCCGCCAACCATACGCAAGTAGAGCTCGCGGCGCACGCAGCATCACCAGCCGAAATAGAAGTCACCACCCAAGTCTCACTTTGAGCAATGTTTGCTCGCTGTCACTCCACAATATCGCTAATACGCACAGGAATTTTAGCAAATCAATCTTCTTGCGCGCCACCGCAATGTCATGCACTGCTCGTCTTTGAGGAAGAAAGTACTTGTTGGCCAGATAGTTCTTCTCAAAATGCCCTTCAAGACGCGACCATGCACCACTCTCCAAATAGAACAACGAAAGTCGCGAGTCTATTACAGCAAGGCAGATGATTGCCATTGCCTACCGAGACCTGCGCTCGTATCAACCTTGATCCAGCACGGTAACGCACCGCTCCAACTTGATTTTGCCGCTCTTAATCCCCCGCAAGTCGCGCTCCATCAATGTCATCTGCATTATGAACTTCCGCGTATGACATTGTGTTCCGCTGAATCATATTGATTCGCGAGGGAGCAGCGATTTCTCTTGAGAGAGTGTGGTCGTGGCTGGAAGCGAAGAGGGTAGAGTCTGCGGGGCTTGGCCTCATAAACCTGAAGAAAAGCTACTTGAGCAGTGGTTGGTAAAAATGCAATGTGGATCTATATAAATTACGTTGTTTGCTTTTCTATACCTTGAAGCCTGTTATCTACTGTAGAATATCCTGTAAAATAGATCACTGCTTTGTAAAGGGAACAGCTGTCTGGTGACTGCCTCCCTTCTTTGAAGCTTAAAGGGCAGCCGCTGTTGAGACGTTTTCTTGCCAACACTGATGCCTTTTTTTATCCTAAAATTTGATGTCGAATGGTATTTGGGTGCGGCAGTAGAGCAAACTTTCAGGCTGTTCAAGTACGCCTCATGTACAGCACGTTTGGTCCTTCCGGACCCCAATCGGCCATCAAGGCGTTTCGTCCTTAGCCATAGATCTTTTTGAGACAAGCAGATGACAATCGAAATGAAAATATGACTTTGTCGAAATCTCGCTAGACGAAAGCAGTAAATATGAGCATTCCACCTCATGACAAATCGTTATTCTTGCCAGGAAGTATGTTATTGTCAAGTTTGTGTACACCTGCTTGGCATGTTGCCATTCGTGATGTGTACGGATCATGAGTCTTTAAGCACATAGACCACACCGAAAATGACAAAATTGTCTTCGAGCTTAAACCTGCTTATTGCTGAGGAGATGGTCAGGCCAAGTTGTTTTAAAGTGATGGGTACGCGCTTTTGCTTCGTCGCCTACAAGACCAAAACAACTCCGGAATAAACTGCCGCATTTTCGATGGAAACCTATAAAAGCATGCGCGATTTTGCTCAACGCAAACTCAATCAAAACAAGAATGTTGATTTATCACCGTAGTCGCTCTGCGCATGTCCACTAATGCGATTGACGTGGTTTGTCTGAACCATCAGTCTGCGTACGGTACGCTAAGGACAGAATAGACCTGGTGCCAAGCATCTTTAACATATTGTTCTGAAGCGCGGAACTTGATTCGATACAGTCCCACAGGCAAGCCATCTGCGCGAGAATCCCTGTCGAGAAACAACTCAGCTGTACTCTCATCGGTGATAATGTTACTGACAGCAACGAGATAATTCTTCTTATTCTGGCGGCCTTTAAAACGAAAATGCGGATGCAGCAGAATTATTTTTAAATATACCAATAATAAAGCTCGAATTGCCCTGTCTCAATCGGAATCTGCAGTTTGACCAAAGGTACCGACGAATGCAGAGAATATTTCTCGTACACATATGCGCTTACTGCTTTGTACCTGTTCGTCACATACTTGCATTTTCTGTTCTTGTGCGCAACCTTTTCAAAAATTCTAATTGGTGCTTGCTATTCTTTGGTAGTACACTCACAAAAATTATTTAGGAAGACAGTGACTCTTTTACAACTGAAAAAGAGATTCACATTTTGAATACGTGCATTAAGATGCCAAATCTGGAACACTTGCGACAAGTAGTGTACGTAAGACGATAAATTTTAGAGCACGGTAATGGTGCGTGATAGGAGTGCTGAGAGCTTGTCACCCAGCAAAAGCCTTATCCATGCTTGATGCTGAGGACTGATCCATAACAGGGTTGAGTGGCCGATCCATAGCTGGTATCGTATTCTAATCTACATGAACTTCGAAAAGAGCCTTTGGAAAAAAATAACCTTTCCGAGTTGATCTCGTCTTCTAAAACTTCCCTCACGCATGTGCCTTCTAAGAGCATTTTCAAATCGAATAAAACTTAATTTAATGATCAATGGTTACATACCGATTTACGCATTTTGAGCAATGATTTAAATTTGTACTTAATTTCCTTGCATCTAAATTATGATCCTCTTGTCACTTTATGCGGCGTGACTCTAGCAAAGTGCGCTGCCCTCACCTTGTCCAACAACTTGAGATCACGCTCCCCTTTGCGAAGCATATATTCAATTACGACAAAGTCCTTGCGTTCTACCTTCTTAACCTAATCGTACCACAACATATATAAACACATGTCCTTCGTAAATAGAAAAACTGCTCGACCAAATGCTATAAGTTGCCACATACATCCTCACGAAAACGATCGCGTACGTAGCACAGCGTTTCGTGATCCTTGTGCTTAGCTGCCTGCATTGACTTTTTGTATAAGGCCAGAACCTGACGCTGTAGACCTGAGTATGTCGGCATTATGCTGAAATGAATAATCTAGTCTATTTATAATACTATAATTTTCTAGAAACCAAAATTATTTTCCTTGATATTAATAGAAAGCGTACGAAGTTATTTATCCACGTATAAATCTTCCATCTTGTGATGCCAGTCTTTAATGGTTTGGACGTTCTGGTGCTTGATTGAGACGGCGATTATGGCATTATGGCGTCATCTTTGCAGCATTAAGTTATAGATGTAGATTGTAGAATCATAATATGCTTTTGATGTTGTCTGTTCGGTATGCCGATCACGTGACAACCTGGTGTCGTTGTTACTATTGTTTTAAATGCTAGATTATCAAAGGCTTAACAATCATTTCCGAAGGAATGTCTGAGCAAATGCAGTCTGGAAAGAATTACAACTTGTCGAACGTTTCATGAAAGAATTGTTCTGCGACTGGTCGTGCGAGAACTTTACATCATTAAAAATCGTGATCAATGTGAAGGGCTAAAATTCGCACTGCAGATGTTTGATGCAATCTATCATAGCTTCGCCTATATAACTTTGGTGTGCTACTTGGCTGAACAGTTAGATATTTCTATCAATCGGCTAGCTTATAATTATCGCACAACACAAGAGGTAAATAGTAAATATCAAGACTATATTAGGAGTACTCACGGTTACAGCGGGTTAATTCTTAGGCTTTCTTGTGAGTACATCGTACGGGTGTATCGCACTCTTCCCACTTACATGAGGTTCGAGCTAACAGCGTGACACGAACTCACTTTCTCCTTTGTCTGAGCTTTATTGGTTCCGAGAAGGTAGTCAAGCGAAAACTTGTCTGAAATACTTTGGGGTGGCTTCTTGTGCACCTTTAGTAGCCGATTGCTTGACACGTCAAAGGGGCTCTTGCCACCGTTAAGTGTGGCTAGATTAAATTTCTCCATGAGCTTCGTGCCTTGTCTGCGGCGCAGAGTGGTGGCGACAGATACGGCTAGTTGAGGAGTCATTGTGGCTGAAAGGTTGAGAACTTGGAAATGAAGTGGTGATAATTTGGAATGCTACAGTTAGTTGAACATTAGTTATAAAGAGTTTCTGACGACGGTACGACTCGTCAAAATTCATGCTGAATTATTGAAACGGTCTTAAGACTGAAAGATGCTGTGACTCTAAAACTTTTTTATTGCCAGTATGAGTCTTTGATTGCATTTATATATCATTGCACTTATCAATGCATGATATGAATATTTGTAACATCTGTGATATAATTACATAGTAATCTGAAATGATCAGCCATGGCAGGTAGGTCAAATGCTTTGAAACTATCAATGCCTGAGCAAGCCGTACAATAGAGCTTACGCACCAATTTTAGAAGTTACCAGTCAATCATACAGCTAAAGATCCTACGCTGTCTTTCGTTCAGATTCTTCGTCTATCTTTACATTTACTCCTCAAGATCTGATGCACACAAAAATCTACGGCTAGAATAGGACGAGTGGAATGCAGTTTGTCCGATTACGGCGACATATCTATCATGCCATAGCAGGAAAAACTTGTAACATACCTTTTAAGTTATCTCGTTTACCTTTGATTCTTGACAGGATGAAACAAATATGTTTGAACACATTAATGATAAACTTGACGAGTGCCAACTAATATAGCTACAATGTTTTATAAATGACAATCTCGTGCGAAATCTTAATGATGTAAAGTCTGCAGGCTGCGAAGTAACACTGCTCCATCATCAGTTCGTATGCAATAACTTAAGCAATCAACCAAATGGCAGCCTGATGCAGAGGAGACTCTAACAACAGATCCCCTAATGCTATGGGCACATCCTCTACACTTTACATAAAAACTGGCTTCACGAGTCATGTAAAAACGGACGGACTGAAAGGGTCAATTAAGGGAGGACTTCTTGTTGGAAGTGTCAATAGATTGAAAAGTATAACATTCGGTTTTATCAGGAGCCTATACGAGCTCTTAAAGCCATTTCCGTTGTACTTGATAGGTATGAAATGTCTGGTAATCTGGAGACAACTACTGATCTTCGATAGACTCGCTATTTCTGCCATTTGTTCGTTAGGCCTCATGAATTCTGAATGTAAAACGAATTTGTCGAAGTACACGAGTCCAACTTTTAAGCATGAGTTTCAAAGCTAGAAATCGCTGCTGAAGGTGTTTTATTGCTGCAAGCACCGAAATAAAATTATAATGTCCACTCACCGCAATGAGCAAAGTTGTGTAAGGATTTGATATAGTTCTTTCTTACTTCTACTACCTCATAAAAGCTCAATACTTTGACTTGAACTCGTTCATTCAAGCATTCAGTATATTCTTAACGTAGGTGACGGTATCCTGTAAATTTCTTGGGTATTGAGTCTGTTCAGCATCGAAATTCTAGAAAGCAAGCGAAATTGCCAAGCTCATTACCTTGGAAAGAGTTTACACAACAATACGAGTACAAGATCTACATACCTCAATTTCGTCCATTTTTGACGAGATGGTCTCGAGATTAAGCTCATTTTTTGAAAATACGACACCAGGTGATCGCTGCCATCGCGTCTGGGCCACCCATCCACCACCGACTTCATATACATTTCCCGTCCGATCGCAATTTTCATGGCACAGAAACCTGTTCCCAAAACATTAGGAAACTCCAAAATCCGACAATTTAACTTCAATAACTTAGAACGTACGCAACGAAAGCAGCAGCATCTTCAGGCGACAGTTTATCCTTCAATTCATCCGGTAAAATCTTTTCAGTCATCTGTGACTTGGCCAGTGGTGCAACAACATTAGCCAAAATATTGCGTTTGGCACCTTCCTTGCTCAGCGTAAACGTTAGTCCAACGATGCCTAGCTTCATGGCCGAGTAGTTTGCCTGTCCAAAATTTCCATACAAACCAGAAGCAGACGTCACGTTTACAATTCGTCCAAATTCTTGTTTCATCATGCCATCCCATGACGCCTTAATCATCCTAAAGCCACTCCACAAGGTCAAGAATCTTTCAAATCTTCCACATTGATGGCTATATCACCTCATAGTTCCTTCAAGATGCACTTTATACACGTCGTCCCACTCTTGCCGTGTCATTTTCGCAAATGAATTGTCTCGAAGGATTCCAGCATTGTTGATAAGAATGTCCACACGACCCCCTACACAGCACAACATGAGCTTTCTACACAAATTGCTCTTTTGTCCGTACATTTTTGTAGCGCCGCATCTACAATATTTTGTCCATCCACTACGCTATTATAATTAGCTACTGCTTTATCACCCCCTCCAAGATATTTCACGACTTCGTCAGCAGCTGAAGCTTGTAAATCATTCACGAGCACATTGGCACCACGTTTTCCTAAAAATTCGGCGTACGCGCGGCCTAATCCGTTGCCAGCACCGGTAACGATTGCCACTACATACAAACATGGTATTAGAATAGAAGAGGAGAGCATGCTGAAGCAGATGGTACCGCGTTTATCAAAGCGCATTGAGAACTGATGACGTGCTTGAAGTTTATTAACTTAAATTTATATGCACTATAGTCCCAATATATTCATATCATAATTTGTCTATGATGTCTCGTCTTCAAATCTGATGCTCAAATTGTACAATCTTTCCGCTTAAGTTATGCGATCATTCCACATGTAGAATATGTAAAGAATCGAAGGAGCAGAAGAGAAGCTCATTTGTAATACATTGTGGTCACCATAGCTTCGGTAACTTTTCTATACAAGTAGTAATACTGGAGAGTCAGTCTATGACGGGGTACATACCCTGTTATGATGCATAATACTGAAGATCGAGTAGAGGTTGCTAGCATCTTATTATTCATTAATTTTTTGAATTTAAGGTGAAGTGGTAAATAATTCTTCGACTTGAGCAATTTGATAACTAAAAAACTTTTGATCCCGCGTCGTAAGAACGACCTTTGAACCTATCGATGTGTTTGTGTTGACGCGGGTGACAACCCTGCTGCACTTGGTAGCAGGTACAATCCAACGGAGTGATAAGAAGACTGTAACCTCTTTGAAGATAAAACATCAGATGCCAATTCAGACCAGAAGGACTCACTCGGGGGGGGATAATGTCGTGGATAGTTTCGGAAGAAAGAAGTTTGTCTCGATGCTTCCACCAATTACGAGAATATGCTGGTAAGATACCTCGAGTGAAGTTTCAATTAGCAGTCAGTCGGTTTACCGAGACTTCCGTAGAACTCGAGATTTCGTATGCTACGCGTTTAGTACCCGAGGATAGAGATGACATTTCTTTAGTCTGGGTATGAGAGTGGCCATCAAACACACGCCAATATGAGCTTATACAACCCGCGGTAAACTTAATTAGGCTAAGCAAAGACATGAATATAAGTAAGTATGCTATCACACCAGCCATCTGTGCTTTTGGTATCCGCCGCATCAGTCATGGTTATCCAGTCTATCGAGGTATACCGTAAGCATGTAGTCATGGTTTTTGCATGTTGCATATATCAGGCGTCACGCGCCATCGCTCGGCTTTGAGCGGAACCAACAAAATTGGTATCAATCATCAAAGTTTTGGAATGTCTCTTAACACGTGCGGCTTGCATAGCGTACGCACATCCTTCTTTGAGAAAACTGTAAATTTCGTATTAATCTGAATCACACAGTTTAACAAGCAAGGATTTACTGGTGTACTGAAGGTGAGGGCTCTATTTGCGCTGGAGGCGATTGATACTAGCCATGCTTTATTTGAAATTCAGGCAAATAGCGACAAGATATCTACAGGCGCTAATCTTGCGGAAGAACCAAACACTCACTCCCTTCTTTCTCGGAGCGAACGCGCTCTCGATGATGAGGACTGTCATCACAGCGTCAGGCCATAACCAATTTGTGTTGCGCTATTGAAAGCTGTGGGAAGTTCGGAGTCTTTGAACGCAATTATTGCTTGTTTCAAGCGCTTCCATCCGATATACCTTGTGTTTAGATTTGTTGCATCGTTGCTCGAAACCGCTCGACACAAAACCTGCGGTTGTTCCGATATCAGATACGAGATATGTAAGAGAGACTCTTTAATATAGAATTCTCCATAAAAATGTATAGAAGGATATCTCGGTAGCGAAAATGGGGGGCGCTTCAATATAGAATACTAGAAGAAAATCGTATCGAAGTAAAACTTAATTGATCAAAAATGTACGACTCAATAAGCGCTAAACTTGATTGCCCGACAGTTACTAT